ACAAAAAAAAAAACGAAAAGAGAAATAAAAATAAATGGAACAGAGCAAGAAAAGAAGAGAAAAAGACGCCATGGAATAAGAAAAGCCACTTCATTTGGCCCACTCGCCCATAAATCCTACAGACCACACAAATAATTCACACCGTGCCACCTCTCCCTTCCCCCTATCCTCCCCTTTCCCCCTCCCCCCTCCCACTACCGGCCTTCCCCTTTGCAACCGTGACCTTCACACCTTCACCAAGGCTCTCGGAGGAGGAAGGAGAGTGGGGGAGTGGAAGGAGAAGGGAGGGAGAGGGGGGAAGGAGAAGAAGGAGAGAGAGAGAGAGAGAAGAGAGAGAGAGAGAGAGAGAGAGAGAGAGAGAGAGAGAGAGAGAGAGAGAGAGAGAGAGAGAGAGAGAGAGAGAGAGAGAGAGAGAGGAGAGAGGAGAAGGATAGTGGACGAAGTGTTGGAGGGATAGGAGAGCGCCCGCTAACGGAGAAAAAAAAGTTCGGACACCATTTGTTCCCCGGCAACCGGTTCACATCGGTCACCACGAGACACGTGGTATTTCTCGCTCTCAACCATTCCTTACCCGTTTCTCCCCTCCCCTCAACCTTTTTCTCACCCCCTCCCTCTTCCCATTTCTCCCTTCCCCTTTCATCTTTTCCCAACTCCCTCTCTCTTCTTCCCGTACCTCTCTTCGCACTCCCTCTCTTCCCCCCCCTTCCCCCTCTCCCTACCCCTCCCCTTCCCCCATTCCCACTCCCTACCTTCTCCTCTTCTTCCCACACACCCTTCCCCCTTTCCCCACTCCCTACCCCTCCTTTCTTCCCACACCCTCCCTATCCCTTCCCCCATTCCCCACTCCCTACTTCTCCCTTTCTTCCCACACCCTCTTTCCCCCTTTCCCCTTTCCCTACTCCCTCCTCTTCTTTCCACACCCTCCTACCCCCTCCCCTCCCCCATTCCCCACTCCCTACCTTCTTCCCTCTTCTTCCCACACACCCCTTCCCCCTTTCCCCACCCTACCCCCTCCCTCTTCTTCCCACACCCTCCCTACCCCCCTCCCTTTCCCCCACCCCACTCCCTACCTTCTCCCTCTTCTTCCACACCCCCCTTTCCCTTTCCCCCCCTCCTTACCCTTTCTCCTTTCCCTACCCCTTCCCTCTTCTTCCGACACCCCTTCCCCTTCCCATTCCCCTTTTCCCTACCCCCTCCCCTTCTTCCCACACCCGCCTTTCCCCTTCCCCTTCCCCCTTTTCCCACACCCTCCCTTTCCCTTCCCCTTTCCCACTCCCTCCCTTACCCCCCCCCCTCTTCTTCCCACCAACCGTAATCCAAACTAATGTGCCAATGATCGATTCGCGAAGCCGGTCAACGTCTACAGTACGTTGCGAATATTTTTAGCGGACGGAGGAGGAGGAGGAGGAGGAGGAGGAGGAGGAGGAGGAGGGAGGAGAGGGAGAGGGAGGAGGAGGAGGGAGGAGGGAGAGGGAGGAGGAGGAGGAGGAGGAGGAGGAGAGGAGGGGAGAAGGAGGAGGGAGAGGGAGGAGGAGGAGGGAGAGGGAGGAAGGAGAGGGGGAGGAGGAGAGGGAGGAGGAGGAGGAGGAGGAGGAGGGGAGGAGGAGGAGAGGAGGAGGAGGAGAGGGAGGGGAGGGGAGGAGGGGAAGAGGGAGGAGGAAGGAAGGAGGAGGAGGAGAGGAGGAGGAGAGGGAGGAGGAGGAGGGAGGAGGAGTATGAGGAGGAGGAGGGAGGAGGAGGAGGAATTGTTTGGCTATTTCCCACGACGTCATGGCACTCTTAAAAAAATAAGAGAATTTCGACTACTTGGCTTCGTTTCAGGGTGTTAGTGATGGGATTTAATGTGGTTAGAATAAGGTGTTCACGGTAGAATGGCGGGGAAACAGCTAAGGGAAAACAAACAGGAAACAGCTAAGAAAGAAAACAAAGGGGGAAACAACTAAGAAAGAGAAAACAAAGGCAGGGAAACAGCTAAGAAAGAGAAAACAAAGGCAGGGAAACAGCTAAGTTAAGGAGGAGGAAACAATGACAGGGAAACAACTAAGAAGGAAAAAAACAAAGGCAGGGAAACAGCTAAGAAGATAAAACAAAGGCAGGAACAGCTAAGAAGAGAAACAAAGGCAGGGAAACAGCTAAGAAGGAAAATAAACAAACAGGGAAACAACTAAGAAGAGAAACAAAGGCAAGAACAGCTAAGAAGGAAAAACAATGACAGGGAAACTAAGAAAGAGAAAACAATGACAGGGAAACAGCCATTACCGTTATTCTTTTTTTTTTTTACGATTACTACAATCCATAATAACATGACAACGAGTCTTCTAAGCGACATTTTTATCGAAGGAATTTCTCACCCGCATATTTTTTTTTTTTTTTTTTTTTTTTTTTTTTGCGATTGGTCATAAAACATTAAATATATTTCACGTGACAGAGAACAAGCCACGCAAACTTTTCCGACCCGAAAAATATGCGGCGTCCATCAATGAGAGCTATTTCTAAACGCTATTTCTAAATGCTATTTCTAAACGCTATTTCTAAAATGCTATTTCTAAACGCTATTTTTAAATGCTATTTCTAAACGCTATTTTTGCTATTTCTAAATGCTATTTCCAAACGCTATTTCTAAATGCTATTCCAAACGCTATTTCTAAACGCTATTTCCAATCGCTAATTCTAAACGCTATTTCCAATCTAATTCTAAACGCTATTTCCAATCGCTATTTCTAAACGCTATTTCCAAACGCTATTTCTAAACGCTATTTCTAAGTGCTATTTCTAAACGCTATTTCTAAACGCTATTTCTAAACGCTATTTCTAAGCGCTATCATGTTGCAAATTCGCTACTGTCACGGAAGCTTTCACGCTGCTAGCTTCCGTGTAAATTGCAAAATGGAAAAAAAACTGAACTCGAATACTTAATATACTATGAAAATCAAATTATGTTCCAATGAGGACGAGAAAGAGGAAGGTGAAGAGGAAGATGAAGATGAAGAAGCAAAAGAAGAAGAGAATGACGAAGAGTAGTAGGCGGAGGAGGAAGAAGATAGATGAAGACACAGAACAAGAAAGAAAATAAGAAAAATAAGACTTGAAGAAACAAGACAAAGAAGGGGAAAAATCAAGCAGAACACCCCAATCATAAAAAAAAAAAAAAAATAAAAAAAAATAATAATAAATAAATAAAATAAATAAATAAATAAATAAATAATAATAATAATAATAATAAAATAAACGGAAACGACACCGAAACACCTAAAACCCCTTAACGACCAAACAGCACACGAACACGGACAGACAGACCCGCCCACCCACACGACCTCGCACGGAGAGAGAGAGACCACGACTCGTAACCAGACGGGGTCGAGGAGCCCCGGAGCCCCTCGACCTGGCACGACCCCGCCCGTACGCACGACTTGTTTTGCATGGCCAGCGGTGGTGTCCCGCTGTGCCCCGCCGCGTCCCGTGATGTCCTTGTTTTCCTGCGAGACGAGGGGCTATTCCGATGCGTATGGCCTGCTTTTCCCGCGACCTCCCTCCCTCCCTCCGTACCCCCGTGAAGGAGAAGGAGAAGAAGAAGGAGAAGAAGAAGAAGAAGAAGAAGAAGAAGAGAAGAAGAAAGAAAGAAGAAGAAGAGGAGGAGAAGAAGCAGGAGGAGGAGAAGAAAGAAGAAGCAGGAGGAGGAGAAGAAGCAGGAGGAGGGGGAGAAAAGAAGAAAAAAAAATCGTCTTTCCTATTGCTTATCT